CTTAGACCTTCCACAGAGTGCCTATTTTCGATCTCTTGGATCATTTCCAGAGCACATAAATGATATATCATGAGTATGAATGATCAAGTTCATGTTACCAGCTCTGCCCACTTCCCTAGTATTATTTTTTTTTTTGTCAAGGAGATTGGGGTTAAGTGACTTGCCCAGGGTCACACAGCTAGTAAATGTCAAGTGTCTGATGGTTGGATTTGAACTCAGGTCCTCCTGACTCGAGGGCCAGTGCTATATCCATGCTGTCCCCCAGTAGTATTAATAATAACAATAATAATACAGTTCTTTACATTTGATAGAGGTTTGGAATTTACAAGTTGTTTTCATATGACATATTATGTAATGAGATGCCAATTAGGTATTTCTAGAGGCTGATTTTTTCTAAGAGCCTACCCTTACATTTTTATACTAAAATTGCTTTGTACATATAGTAACAAAAATTGTCAGTTTCTACTAAAAGAGGAGTATTGTTCTGTCAGTCTCATTCTGCTAAAATAATAATAACTGACATTGATGTAACACGTTAAATATATTATCTTATTTGATTCTTATAACAATCCTAGAGGTAAATACCACAGGTATTTTCCTCCCGTTCTATAGATGAGAAAAGCCCCACTCAAAGGGAGGTTTCACACAGCAGTGGGATTCAAACTCAGGCCTTTTCCTATTCAAATTCCATTATACCACACTGCCTCCCTAAAGAGCAGAAAATCTGATTAATTCTTCAGGTGTCTTACTGACAGTGGCGTCTTTCAGAAGATTAAAGAGACAATGAAAGAGAACTTTGTTCTATCTCCTATGAAAGAAGAAATGGTTTGTAAATTAAAGGAGTTAGGAAACTTGGAGAAAAGTAAGCTTATCATTTTAGAATTTCTAATAGACAAGGAAAGGAACACTGGATTGTCAGATATATACATAAACTTCAAGGCAGCAGATGTCAAAAGTTCAAAGGAGAGATATTTATGATGCTAAGGGCAGAGAGTACAAAAAGGAAAGATGACTTGAGGGAATGGATATGCTAACAATAAAAATCTTAAAATCAGAAATTATTCTAGTAAAGAAGAAAAGGGGAAGACTTCTAAAAATAAAAATGACTATGTAAGATGCTCTCTGATGAGCTCAGGTTTTGACAGCACATATGCAAAAGACAGAAAGGATAAACATGTGAAAGAGGATAAATACAGAGTGGCCAGCAAGGATATCAGGAAGGCTAAAACCAGAATGAGCTAAGGTTTATGAGAAAAGCTAGAAATAACAAAAAAAGTTATTAAAACTATGTTCAGAAGGAAAAGAAAGGGTTGGACCCACAAATTAAGAGATTATAAAGTGTTAGCACTTAAAAGAGAAGAATTACTCTGCTCCTGCCTTCCTTGAGTGTTTTTTACCTAAGAGAATGATCTTAAAACTAGAGTGGAAACAAATTATGATTAAGAGATAATTGAAGGGGCCACTCGTTAGGCAGTGGATAGAGCACTGGCCCTGGAGTCAGGAGGACTTGAATTCAAATCCAGCCTCAGACACATAGCTATGTGACCCTGGGGCAAGTCACTTAACCCCGATTGCCTCGAGGAAAAAAAAAAGAGAGAGAGAGATAATTGAAGCTCAAAACAGGTGTGGAGATAGAGAGTAGAGAAGACCTAACTCTTTTGAATGTCTTTTCACCAGGCCCAAATGAATTATAACCTCAGCTTCTAAAACAATATACCTATGTGATTAGCGACACTGAGGAATTATGAAGAATGAAAAAGGTATAAGAAGGCTGAAGACAGTTAAATGTAGTTTCGATTTTCAAAACAAAGTGTGCATTCTAGAAACTCCAGATCAGTTAATCTCTATCAACAGCAAAATTCTAAAACTAATTATAAAACAAAATGGTTTTTAGCATTTCAGAAATGAAGCAGTGATTACTAGAATTTAGCTAAATTAACTTAATTTCATTTTTTGTTCACTATTAGACTGTCAGGAAATGTTTTTGCTATTATCATTGTATCTTAAATTCAAGGCATTAGAATTATTATTGAATAATGAATGGTATAGTCTGATGTATTTCAGTTTAATTCAACACATATTAAGTACCTATTGTATGCAAAGATATAGAGTTTAAATAAGTTTACAGTCTAGTTACTTGATATGATATGTAAAAGCACCAATAATACAAATTAGTAGGTGATAAATGCGTAGAAGGGGAGGCAGGGTTAGGGAGGCCATTGACCAACTAGAAACATCAAAGAGATCATTGAGGAAGGCTTAATAGAAGAGAATTTTAATTGAGTTTTAACAAAGGGGTAGGTAAATTCAATAGGCAGAGGTGGTAGAGAGAAAAGACATTCTAGACTTGGGGGACTAAAGCACAGAGTCAAGTATATGGAGAGAATTAGTGTGGAAAAAGTACTGAAAAGATAGAGTGCCCCCAGATCGTGGAAGATCTCAAAAGTCAACATAATTAGTTTGGACTCTATTCTCAGCAGAGAGACATTTCAGGATTGCCAAAAGAGGATGTTCTAACTGGTTGAATGACTAACCAAGAATAGTTGATTAATGTGTCCACATGGAGAATAATCTCTAGGGAAATGCCTCAAAGAGCTTTCCTTTCCTTTGTCTCATTCAGTATTTTTATCAGCTTGGGTGAAGAGATGGATGGTGTGTTTATCAAATGTGAAGATGACACAAAAGTACCTAACGAGTATATTACAAGGCAAAATGTGACAGGCGCAAATAAGAATCCAGACAGCGTCCCAGAAAAATTTGAGGAAGGAGAGACTGCTGTCACCCAGAGAAATCAGAGATAGTTTCATGAGCCAAAGCAAACCACAGGGTGAACCAGATCTAACATGATACATCCCTGCTTTTAGAGTTAAAAAATTATTTACATAAGGAAAGAGCAGGGAAGAAACAGATTAACAACAATTCATGTTAGATAATGCATGCAGCTGCTAGAAAAAGCTTGACAGCCTTAGACTACATTAAATAAAAGCGTAAGTATAGAAATTTAGAAGTTAATAGGCCTTCTGTACTGCACTGATATGACCATGACTAGAATATCATGGTCAGTTATGGGCCTTATGTTTTTAAGGGATTAATGACAAAACCGAACCATAAGAAAGCAACCAGGTTGGTACAGTATCTGGAAACTATATTCTATAAGGAACAGATGAAGGAGCTTAAGGAAACTTGAGGACAGATGAGTAGTCTTCAAACATTTGAAAAGTATCACATAAAAAAGGGCCTATAGACTTCTTTAACCTACAAAGAGCCTATAACAGATGGATAGATGTTAAAGATTTTTTTTTACCTCAATGCAAGTGTAGCTTTTACTCCGAGATACTTCCCCAACTTCCCCCAGAGGGCAACTGCTACTCCCAGGTTCCAGGGAATAGTCTGTGGATCTGCACTTGTACTACAATTGCTTTTGAGCCCCCACCAATGTGCTTCCCAAAAATAGTAATTCAGTAGACACAATCGGTTATTAGCAGAAGCATTTAGTAAGATAGTAAAAAACAGTATACATAAAAAATTCCCCACCCCCAAAACCTGGGTCTCACTGTCTCACAAATATAGCATCCATGGGAAGGGTGAGCTCAAATTTAGCATACAGTAATGAGGCATACATGCAGTGAACACATATGGCCAAGGAAGACCACAACTACAAGATTCTCTCTCTTTCATGAAATTGTCGTGAAGTCTACCCACCCCACCTTGGGTTCATCATCTCTGTTGAACGGAGTTGATTAGGTGGGTTCTCATGGTTCACCCCTCCCAGCTGAACTTGTGATTACCAGAGTTAACTCTTTCAAATCCATGCTCTCTTCTCTGCTTGAGAGGCTGTGCGCTTTGAAGCTGCTTCTGGACACAGATGACTGTCTCTCCTCACATATTTCTGTCTACAGAGTATATCTTTGCTTCCTCAACTGTGTCTCAAACTCTTGAATTGACTTTCCAACTGCTGGGGGGGGGGAGGGGTGCCCCTTTCTAAGCAAGTTCCTCTCACCACTAGATGTCTTGACCAATAGGGCATAGAGGAAGGAGATATCACCTCTCCCCACCCCCTGCACAGTTCCTTCTCAGGGACCTTCCTCAACTGCTAACTCTTGCCTAAAATGCCTCAAACTGATGGGGCATATTTTAAGGGTTACTTGGGTTCATGACTTCAATGACATGGGTCTCTTCTGAGTCAAAATGTTCATACTTCATAAAAGGATAACAAAGTGTTAAGATCCTATGACTACATTAACTGAGATGGAAAGGTAACCAAATCTCCTCTCCTTTACACAAGGAAGAACTTACTAATTATCATTATTGAAAAATGGGCTGCTGTGTGAACTAGGGAGTTCTTCATAGCTAAAAATATTTCAGCAACTGTCAAGAATATTAGCCATAACTTATCCATACACATGAGAAGGGTTAAAATAAATGAGCTCGAAGGTCCCTTAAAACTCAATCCTAGAACTCCAGATTGAGTATGGGAGACCAGGATAGGAAAGGAAGGAATGAAAACCAGTTTTGGAGAGACTGTAGTGAGTGCAGTTTTAAACATGATGATTTCAAGGTGAAAATGGAATATCCAGGTAAAAATATATGAAGGCAATTGGAAATAGGGGCTAGAGCTCAGGAGAAAGCCTTGGGCAGTGGGTGGGAATGAGGGGGACACTGAATAGGAGAACAGAAGAAAATTGATGACTGATTTTTTTGTGGTAAACATGCATTAAGGGGGAAGGAAGAGACAAAAAAGCCAGACAAAGAGCAGTTAGAGGAGTAAGAAGGAGTTAATAGAATGGAAGCTAGGAGAGGAGAGAATTTCATGAAGAAAGAAATAATCAAGCATCCCATGGTACAGCTATCAATATTATTCCTTCATCTTTCTCTCTCTCCAGGTCCTGGTGATATCCCCATTTCCCACTAGGTTTCATTTTCTGTCCTTGCTTCGTCACCATTTTTTTTCTTCATTCTCATTTTTCTACTTCTTTGATTCCTTTCCCTTCTCTCTACAGGGGGCAGTACTGAAAATCGGCCCATCTTTCGCTACAGCAAGGAACAGAGACCAACTACCCTGCCCATCCAGCCTTTCGTGTTCCAGCATCATTTCCCTAAACAGCTGCCCAAGGCCAGGGCCCTACATAGTCTCTCCCAGCTCTACAGCCTCTCTGGCAGCAACCGTTCACAGCCACCTGTTGTGCTGGCCTCCACATCCCAGGCCCCCTCAACACGGCCTCCTGCTCCTGCTCCCCGCACAGTGGATGGAGCTGCCTCCCTCCCTGAAGAAAGTACCAGAAAGGCTGCACCTGACCCAGACACCTCTCGGCCATCCCCTCTGGGAAGCTATTCTCCCATTCGAAGTTCAGGCCCCTTTGGGCCCAACACCGACTCTTCATCTGCCTCCTGTTCTCCCCCTGAGCACACTGTGGATGGCCCCCCACCACGAAGCCATTCCTGCCCTGCCGCAGCCAACCTGATCCCTGTCCGACAGGCCCTGATGCCTGGCCCCGCTCACCAGCTGGAGGCCCCCGAGAGGCTACCACCAGAGCCCAGCCCACTGCTCTCTGAGTATCGGCTCCATGGGGCAGGCAACCTGTCCCACCTGGGTCCCACAGGACCTAGCCTGAGCCGAGCTGAGAGCCTAGCCCGGGGAGGTGGTGAGGGCAACATTGCATCCCGGCTTAGTAATGGTACTAAGCATGTCTTTCCAACCTCCCCCAGCAATACCCATATGCATTTAGAAACACCCCCAACATATCCTATGGGGACAATTCCCACCCTTCCTAGTAAATGGGGAATAGCTCTTTGCCCCTCACTTGGGTGATCCCTTGAGGAACATTTTCCCAGGGTCCAGACTCCTGGTCAGAGGTTAAAGAATGTTTGGGGCCTTCTCCCCCCTATTAGGAATGCCTCCTCCTACCCTAGCACTCCACAGGGCCCATGGGACAAGCAGTCTGATGGGTGGAAAATGCTGGTAACTTGTAGTTAACTTTCCTTCTCTGTCTCCCTTGTTTTCCTGCCATGCCATAGCCAATCACCTATCCCCTCAAGCTCTCAAGTGGCGAGAATATAGGCGGAAGAACCCACTGGGGCCACCAGGTCTTGGGGGAAGCCTAGACCGGAGGCCACAAGAGACTCGACTGGCCCGGAGAAATCCCATCTTTGAGTTCCCTGGACCCCTCAGTGCTGCAGGTCACCTGCATTGCCGCCTAAATGGTACATGCATCAGTGAGAAAAGAGGAGTGTATGGACTTTTGTAGCTGAAAGCTTGAGAGAAGAAGGCTGGAGATGAGGCCAGCAAGCCAGTCCCAGGGGCACAAATTCTAAATGACACAATCCCCAAGGGATGAGCCACAGGGATAAGCCAAGAAAGTCAGGGGAATTCATGAGGTCAGAGTCAGGGAAATAAGTAGGCTAAGGTCAGCATCAGGGCGGGGATCAAAAAGTTATAGCTAGAGTTGATTGAGTGATTGTCTCTCCCACCCTCCTTCCAGGTCAAGCAGTGAAGCAGTTGCCATTGAATCATACTGATTTCTTCTCTGACCCCTTCTCCTTGGCTGAGAAGCCACCAGCTGAGTTCTGTCTCTCGCCGGATGGCAACACAGAAGCTGTCTCCATTGATCTACTACAGAAGAAAGGTGGGAACCTGGGCCAGAGGCACTGCTGTCAATGCCACACCCCACCCTTATCCTAAGCTGAAGAGATCCTTGTCTCTCCACAAACCCCCTAGATCATCTCCTTGCCCCAAAGTTTATCAGCCTGGTGCATCCTAGCATGAGGAAAGGAACCAAAAAAAAAGCTGCCTGTTTAATTGTATGTATATATGTATACATTAAAATCAATATTTGCCTCAGCGCAGAATTACTAGAAACACCAGAGCTTCTGGGACTCTTCCCATCCTGGTCTTTGTGCTCCCTCCCTATGACCTCCCTATCTTTGTGGTGTCACTATCCTTAGACAATGTTGGAAGCAGTTACTGTGTTTGGGGGTCTCCATCAGCAGAGCCACTTTATCTGTCTGTTCTCCAGGACTAGTGAAGGATGTCAACACTGCTGTGGACCTCATTGTGGCACATTTTGGAACCAGCAGGGATCCTGGGGTTAAGGTATTGAAAAAATTAATAGGACAATTATGTCTTGACTTTTCTGACTAGGGAAAGGGGAAATGTTCCTTGCTGGGTTGCTCTATTTCCAACATATCTTGCCTCTTCAGGTTTGGCCCTAGAATGTATGGGGAAAGAAGGATTTGAGAAGGAATGAAGGTTTGGGGCTGTGGAAAGGGAGAAACTATGAAGACTAACCCTAAGGAAAATAATTAAAGGGGGCTAAGGAAGGGACCAGCGATGAGCTGAGAGTCACTGTCCTCCCCCTTTTCAAAATCTCCTGTGCCCCTATATCTTCACCTCTCCTTACTCCTATTCCTTCCTCAGGCCAAGCTGGGAAACAGCTCTGTAAGCCCCCAATGTGGGTCATCTAGTGCTGAAATACCTGTGTCCAGCTGTTCAGGCTGTGCTGGGCGATGGACTCAAGGCCTTCGTGCTGGATGTCATCATTGGGCAGCGCAAAAATATGCCCTGGAGTGTGGTTGAAGCTTCCACGCAACTTGGTATGGGGTGGGGGTGGGGGGAGGGAAGGAAATGGAGGGAGAAATTGAGAGGAGGGGAAGGAGGGAAAGGTTGGGGGAGGCACAGGAAGATTATTAGAAATGGGAAGACTTGGGAGGCACAGTGCTGAATCCAGTACTTTTGAGACCAGACACCTCCTTCCCCTGGATTCTCCTTAGGTCCATCTACCAAGGTTCTACATGGCCTCTACAACAAGATCAGCCAGTTCCCAGAGCTCACCAGTCATTCTATGCGTTTCAATGCCTTCATTCTTGGCCTTCTCAAGTGAGTACATGATCATATACATACACCTGAGTTTATGAACCCAGCCCACCTCACTCCTGCAACCCTACCACTGAATATAAGCAGAAAATTCCTGAGCAGAAACACAAGGCACCAGTCCCACAATTGGTCCCGTACTCATTGCCAGGGTTCTATCCTGCAGCCTCTCTCTGGCATACTAGCCCTCTTTCCCTCATACACACGTGCCTTCCCTAACAAACATCCATGGAAATCACTTCAGTTTACAAAACCAGCTCAAAATGTTTAAACAGGAATATTTACTGAAAAACTAAAGCAAGACAATAGAAGTCCAAAAAGGGAGTTAAGAGTACACTATCTAGCTAAAGCTAAATAATATAAACTAGCCATAGGTTGTATCTTCAATCCCACCCAGAACCTATCAGGTCTTTTCCCCAGATATAGGCCCTGAAGCTATTACTTCTGGCCCTAGACTACAAGTTCTCCTGATCTGTAGTTGTGCTGCCCCTTGGGTCTTGTCCTTATCTCTTGACCCAGAAAGAATAAAGATCCCTTCTGTGGCTTCAGGTCACCCCACAATGCTTTTGTGTTTAACAGCTTCTTCACCCCCTCATGGAGATCTCTATGGCTTTTCCTAATCCTTAAAAGTCCTATACTGTCCCCTGGAGCTTTATCTGTCCTATTTAATTTGCCCATATATTTAGTTCACTAGCCAGATGTTAAGGCCAGTTCTGCCTTCGTTAAAGCTTAGTTTCACTTGTTTCCATGCTTGTACTGGGCTCTGGATCACAAGTTGCCATATGGACCATTGGCAGAAGTCGTATTGATTCCTCATTCATTTATTCACATGGACAAGCATTGTGCACCATCCAGAAAAAGACTGCCCTTTTACTGTTTGATAGTTCTGCCCTTCTCCCATTCAGCCACTAGGTTTTTAATTAATTCTGAGCTCAAGAAATAATCAAGCTCACCCTCCTGTTATAGCTACTCCCTGAGGTTACCAAGCTTTCCCTACTATGTATGTGACTGAATGATACATGATCCAAGTGCTCCTCAGCCTCCACAATGGACCATTGGTCTTCCAAGTTTACAATACTTTCAGTATAGTCCTGTCAAACTCCCTGTATCTATCCCACACATACCCTCTATACAACTACAAAGTGTAGGGTCAAAGCTCAAAGCTCAGACCTCTGCTTTCATCTCCCTTCAGCATTCGTTCCCTGGAGTTCTGGTTCAATCATCTTTACAACCATGAAGGTAACACCACCACCACCACCCCCTAAAACATGCCCTCCAATACCAAACTTTGGCCCTAACCTTATAGATTTCCTTAACTCTGCACTACAACCTTCTTAGAGGCTGGGCAGAATGAGACACCTGCTCCCTTCTGGTGTTTATCACCAAGCAGCCCTAAGCAGAGAACTGTTCCATGTTCCCCAGCCCCAGCCTGGGTGGGAAAGAAACAGCCCAAGACTCAGAGCTGTGACTCTTCTGAACCACTGCTGGCCTGTCCTCAACACCCAATCAGCTGGGGAATAAGAAAGGAACCCAAGGCCTTGTGGGGAAGTTGTTCTCAAAAGCCTCCTGTTCATCAGTGTACCAATGCCTCCTCTTCCTACATACACCCCACCCCTCCCCTCTTAACCCTTGTGTATCTCTGGGTGGGTCACCCACCGTTCCCTCTTCCTTGCAGATATCATTCAAGCCCATTACCAGCCATGGGGTTTCCTGAGTGCAGCTCACACTGTGTGCCCAGGACTGTTTGAAGAACTGCTGCTACTGCTGCAGCCTCTGGCACTGCTGCCCTTCAACTTGGACCTGCTGTTCCAACATCGGCTCCTCCAGAATGGCCGGCAGCAGCAACAGCAGAAGGAGCTGCTCCGAGTGTCCCAAGGACTGCTTCTCTCAGCCCACTCCACTCTGCAGCTGGCACGCTCCCGGGAACAGGAGGGCCATGGGGGCACAGATGGGGCAGCCCCGGGGGAGCGGGTGAAAGGGGTGGGTGCCCCAGCAGGAGGTGAAGAGGAAGAGAAGGTGGTGGCAACTATAGCAGAGGTACAAGCAGGCACAGGACAGGGTGGGCGGGCACGAAGTGGGCAGGCTGGCTGGTGGTACCAGCTCATGCAGAGCTCCCAAGTCTACATTGATGGCTCTGGGGAGGGCTTCAGATTCCCCCGGAGTGGTGAGAAGAAGAAGGGAGCGGGGGGCTCCCAGGCCCCACCCCCCCGGGAAGGTGTGGTGGAAGGGGCTGAAGCCTGTCCCACTGGTGAGGAAGCCCCAAGCCGAGACAGGGGCTGGCCTTTCTGGATGGGGAGCCCTCCAGACTCTGTGCTAGCCGAGCTGAGGCGAAGCCGGGAGAGGGAAGGACCTGTAGCCCCCCAGGGAGGCAGTGAGGAGGGGACCCAGGAGTCCACTACCGGAGGTATCAAGTGGGGACACCTGTTTGGCTCCCGGAAGACCCAGAGAGAGGCTCGACCACTCAATAGGTGAGAGAAGTCACGGGATACAAGGGGAAGGGATAGAGCGAGAAAAAGGATAGAGTTGGGGTTGAGGGCACCTTGGGTATAGTCAGAGTCCTGATGCCTCCAATGATATTATTGCTCAGGCATAAAGTTGGTCAGTGATGGAGAGATACTGGTGCTAACACAAAGAGCAATGCTTGGGGGAGAACCTGAGGCCCTGTCTCCAATCCTCTCCCTTCCACCCTCCCACAGGCTGCCCTCAGACTGGCTAAGCCTAGACAAGTCAGTGTTCCAGCTGGTGGCGCAGACAGTGGGCGCTCGCCGAGAGTCAGAGTCCAGGGAAGGCCCTGAGGAACCACCTGCCCTGGACCTGCCCCCGAACCTGCCCTGGTAAGCATGGAAGGAGGTGGGAGTGGGGATGGATATAGGGCCATTGGCTGCAGTGGATTTGACTTCTATTTCTTTCTCTTCCCAGCGAGGTGCAAGCACTCTGCCACCACTTGGCCACAGGGCCTGGGCAACTGAGCTTCTGCAAGGGGGACATCCTGCGGGTGCTGGGACCTGCTGGGGGTGATTGGCTTAGGTGTGGCAGAGGCTCTGACACTGGCCTGGTGCCCCTAGCCTATGTGACACCGACCCCCACCCCAACCCCTACCCCCAGGGGCACCCAAGATTAAGGCCCTTGTGCATGCTGGAGCCCACCAGGCACCTTCACTTTCCCTAGGGACTCAGAGCCCAGGATGGGGCACAGACTTGGCTCCCTTAACCCCCAGGATCCATTAGCCTGAAGGGCCATGTCTGTGTACCCATGCCTGCCCTCCCCATATGCTCTGTATTCATTAATCCCTCATAATCTGTCCCCATGACCCTGGCCCAGACCACCCACCCCCAGGGAAGAAAGAGGACTAGGCCCTGGGATGCCAGGACTTCAACTCCTGCCCCATCTTCTAGCGGGAAGATGCCCAGCTGTGAGGCTAGGGTACAAAGAGAGGGGTTGTGGAGGGGCCCAGGGGGCACTCTGGGCTGGTCAGTGCTGTGGAGAGGGGGGAGTAACAGTATTGGGGCTGGCCCCTCCCAGCCCCCCCCAGCTGTAAATAGGCTGCTGCCAACACCCTGGCCATATGGGGGAGGGCCCAGGCCAATGTTTATTTATTTATTTATTATGCATATTAATAAAAAAGGTGCTCAGCCTCTGTCCCTGCTCCTCCCCCATCCTCAGACATCTCTCCCCACCCCATTCAGTATGCCTGGCGTTGGGGAAAGTAGGATTGGAGCTGCTTTTGGAAGTTTCTGAGGCCCAGAGCCTCATGGGTGAGAGGCCCATAGGTGTGACCAAACTGGAACTTATAGCCTGTGGAGCCAAGGGAGGCTGTCACACAGAGCAGAGACACAGAACAAAGACAGTGGTGTTGGGGGTATCTGGTGTGTGCCTTGGAAGCATTTTTTCTTTCAGCCAGGCTCTGCCTAGTACCTCTCCATTCCCAAACACCCCCAGACTGTCCTTGCCAACAGAGAAAACTCTAAGAACCTCTCTCAGATCAGTCACTAACTTGGACCTTAGGTAAATCCTCTTTTGGTGCCTCAGATTAGACTAGATGATTGCCAACATCATACAGTTTGTAACTTCGTGTGGAGCTGATGTTCCATCCACCCCATCTGGTATTCTATAGCAGCCCCAACCTGTTTTAACCCAGGCTTCTAGAACCTTTATTGTCCTGTCCCTCTAGCTCCCCAAGGATTTCTACTCCCCCCCAATCTGATTCAAACTTCTACCCCAGGTCTCACCTGGCACATAACCCTTATAGCAGGGCACCATGTTCTGTAAGTAGGTCCTGGAAAGGCTGGGAAGAAGCTTATGGTCCCTCTGGCCCCTGGCCCCTGGGCACATCTGCCCAAATTCTTGCAGAGCCTGATTGGTGAGGATAGGGAAACTAGAGCCGAAGTGGAAACGGGCTCGGGGCACATATCCAGTAAACCCTGTGAGGAAAGAAACACCCAGATTCTAAGAGGAGGGCCCCCCACTCTTCATCCTCTGCAGTGTTCTCCATTCCTCCACCCAGCCACCCACCATACCCATCATTCACCTGAGATGAAGAACTTATCAGGATCTCTGTCATCCATGGAATAGGGGGAGGCCTAAAGGTACATCAAAGGAAATTGGGGACAGAATTAGAGAATCTGGCCCCATCACACACACACACGTTCTAGAGGAACACAGACCCTTGGGGCAGCTTCCTCCTAAAAGGGTAAGAAAGGAAGCCCCTCTCCCTTCCCCATCGCCCTTGTCAATCTCTTCCATCCTTTTGGTCATAGCCCCTCACTTTTAGTTTGTGCTCTGGCTCCAGTTCCAGCTTCAGGTGCTTTTCTGGCTCAGGCTCCTGCTCATCTGTCTTAGATTCCAGTTTCTTCCTCTCAGCCTCTGGCAGCTCTTTATATCCTGTACCTAAATGGCTAGTGAAGTCCCTCAAAGCTTCAGCCCAGACCTGGGTGCATCTCTTGGCAAAGATGTGCTGAGACCGGGGCACAAAGCCTGGAAGGCCATATTGAAGAAGATGATTAGGGAGTCCTGTCTGCAGGGAAAAGGAAGTGAATGCCCTTTCAAGGCAGTGAAGATAAGAGCTAAATATTGAGGGCATGTGCCTATTTCCCTGGGGCTTGGAATGGGGAGGAATGAGTATTACTCATGTGTCATTTTCCCCCAGTGGGTATCTGAATATCAAATATGCCTATTTGAGATGGCCATACCTGTGTACCCTGGGATCATGTTGGACTTAATCCTCTCATGTCCATGCCAGGAGTGCTTGTCTGTCCCAGGAGATCCAAGAGTATTGATCAGGGGCAGAAGCATGCGGTGGGCGGGGGTCCAGGCTAGGCCAGAGGGACCAGACAGCAGCAGCCGTCCAGTCAGTTGTCCATAGGTTTTACCCAGGCTGAACCCAAGTTGTGGGCAGTGTCCAGTATACCTATGGTATAGGGTTCATCCACTCAGTCCCTGCCTTTAACATCTGCCCATCATCCCTGTATTTCCCATACCATCATATACTGTTGTGGCAAACGTGCTTTCCTGATGATCCCTACATATATCTGATATCACCATACCCCACTACACCACCCCCTCCATAGAAGCAGAAGAAAACAATTCTCCAGGCCTCAACTGTCCCTTATCATCCAAGGGACAGGTGAGTGTATTGGATAAAACAGGCTACCCATCTCAGAGCTAAGGGGCCCTTGGCTCAGCGGTCATGTTCTCCAGCTGTTACCGAGGAGATGACAACATGCTAGTAGGGATGGGAGTTGGGAAACTGCTATTGTAATTTCCCTGCCACACTGTCCCTGTGCTCCTGGGTCCTTCCACCCCATTTTGTCTTCTAGGCCTGATGTCACTGATTTGATCATTACCACCGCCACCACCACTACCACCCCCGACACTCCTAGCTCCCTACTCAATCCCCCTGCCACCTTAGGTAGAGGAGTACTTATAGTGGAGAAACCTTACCCTGGGATGTAATAAGGACCTCGAGGTGGTAGCCCTGGGGGGAAGGCAGAGCTGGCCATGGCCCTGCACTAGAAAAGGGCTCTCTTCTCAGTCAGGCTCCAGCCTGTGTATACCTGTTGTGTCCAGGGCTGCAGGGCAGGGCTAGGGGGAGTGGATGGAGCAAGGGGAGGGACTTAGAAGAAAGGGGCAGGTTGCCTTAGAGTCAGAGACAAACAGACCCCTGTAAAGCAGTCCTATTTGCTGTAGTACATCTGCCACATGTAGCCCAGGGTAAATTAAACCCTGATGCAAACACAGCCTTATCTGAGAGGATAGGATGATATAGCAGGAATAAGCATTGTCCTTACAATGAGAAAATTCTTAGTTCAATCTCTGAGCCTCAGTTTTCTCTTTAAAATGAGGATAATACTTCTTACACCACCTCACAGGGTAAGTGAAGAAAGTGCTTCAAATACTTTGTGAGTGAATGCATTATCAGGGAGAACACAGAAAACTCAAAAAAATTACACCCTTCTATTCCCCTTCTCTGAGTTAACTGAGTTAGAGGGCACCTTTCACAAGAGGGAGAGAGGGGGCAGCTAGGTGGCGCAGTGGATAGAGCACCAGCCCTGGATTCAGGAGGACCCGAGTTCAAATCCGGCCTCAGACACATAATATTTACTAGTTGTGTCACCCTGGGCAAGTCACTTAACCCCCATTGCCCAACCCAAAAAACAAAACAAAACAAACAAAAAAACACAAGAGGGAGAGAGGGATAGGATCCCATCCCTGCCTTGAGCAGATTTTGTCTACATCCCTTCTGGAGCCCTTGGTCCAAAGAGGATAACATAGTTTCTGTCTGTGAAGAGGCCCTGATCTGGTGGTGATGGGGTACACAGGAAAGCAGTCTGATTCAGTGTGTAGTAAAGATAAAGCCATTATTTGTGAGGCAAAAGAAGGAAAGGTAGAAAGAGAGACAGGAAGGTTGGGCTGGGGAGTGTTGAGTGACTGCTGAAAAGGGGTAATTTTTTAAAATTATGCATAATGCAACAAGAGATTAGTGGGCATTATATAACCAAATCTGTGCTAATCCACTGCAGAGGATTCAATTATGACACTGTCCCTGATCCTCAAAGGGTTCACACTCTCCTAGACACAGGCTGTGAGTACACAGAACATTTGTACAACGTTGTATTGGCACTAGATGACAAAATTAGTGGCATACAGAGCAATAGGAGTCCAAAAGAGAAGCACTGAGGATTAAGGTGGAGCAGGCTAGGTGGCGCAGTGGGTAAAGTTCCAGGCATGGAGTCAAGAAGACTCCTCTTCCCTTCAAATCAGGCATCAGATACTTAACATTTTAATCCTGTCTGTACTCAATTCCTCAATAGTAAAATGAGCCGTGTAAGTAAATGGCAAACTACTGAAGTATTTTTGCCGAGAAAACCCCAAACGGGGGTACCAAAAGTCAGACACAACTGAAAAATGACTAACAAGGATTAAGGTAAAGAAGTTTGGTCTTTTCAGATTCAGATTCTGGGAGAAGAGACTAGGAACCCATGACTAAGATGGAGAAGCACCTGGATTTTCCTTGGTCAGACCATTTTGGAGTATTGAGTTCAGTTCTGAGAGCCACAGTTTAAGGACACCGAGGAGCATCCGAGGGCAACCAGGATGGGAAACGGCCTTGAATCCGTGGGATGTGAGAATCAGCTAAAGGAACCAGGGATGTTTAACCTAGAAAAGACAAGACTCATGGAGGCCATGATAGCTGTGTCTGAGTTCAGGTATCTAAAGGACTGCCATGGAGAAATTACACTTAATCTCTTTAGCCCAGAAGGCAGAATCAGGAGCAATGGTTCCAAGTCACAGAAAGGCAAATTTTGCCTTAATGTCAGAGGAAGCTTCTTAACAATGAGAGCTATCTGAAGGCAGAATGGGCTGCCTCCAGAAGTCATGAGTTCCCTCTTCATGAAGGTTTCCAAGCAGAGGCTAAATAGCTACTTGTTGAATATGACACTCTAGAGATTCCTTGTGTGTATGGGGTTAGACTAGATGACTGCTGAGGTTCCCTTGCAGCGCTGAAATTGTGTGGGTGACAACTGCAGCTTTTTTACATTTGGAGAATGTTCCATATGATTGACACCTGGGGCACTGCCCAAGTCAGCTGGTACTCTGACTTCTCGAAGCCTGTGGAGAGACTCTCATTTATCAAGCAAGAAATTATAATATCCTCGAGATGGCGCTCTCCTCGAGTTACCAGATCAGTGGACTCATTTGAGTTTGTCTGGCACACATGGGTGAGCCTCTTCTGCCACCAAGCCATGCAATTTAAAACACTGAGGCAAGCAGAAACTCCTGGCCAGGATTCAGTATTGGTCTATGGAATTAAGTGAAATATTTCTTTTTTATTTTTTTTTAAGTGAAATATTTCTCAAAATTATTTAAAAATAGGAAATCTCTAGTTCTGTCCCCACCCCATATCTGGCCTTTCAGAATATCAAACAGCATTCACAGAATACTGGCAATCAACATACCACAGGCACACATAGTCAGGGAACCCAGGGAAACTGCAAGAATTGTTATGTCCTCCCACACGGAACCCTTCAAACTCCTCCAGATTAGCTTCATCCTGCACCTGTATATTGTGGAAAGGATTAAAGGAGGGGTTATATTCTGGGACTCCAAGATCAAGATATCTAGAGTTAGATTTGGATCCCTACCTCCGTAAGTTATCTTCTGGGCAACCTTGAACAAGTACATCACTTAACCTCCGTGGACTTCAGTTTGTTTATAAGACAAGGGGGTTGAAAATTCAATGGCCTCTAACGTCACATCTAAGTCTGTGCTTCTAAGTCATCTCCCCTCCATCTCTCCCACCAATGGGATTTTCAGTAGGTGCCAGTCCCTAACACTCTGAATCTACCTTGAATGATCCGAGTTCTGCAATCTGAGTCTCAAGGCTCTGTGAAGCCTTTCTATAAACTGACCATTCTATGTGGTCAGCTTCCCCTATGACCCTGACCACCAGAAGGCAGTCTGTAGACACATTGGCTCAAGTGCTGCAGCCCTCTGATTCCCACTGAAACCCAGGTATCCAGCTCCCAAAAGTTGTCTGCTCTTGCCCACATAGTGGCAGGCAGGCCAGGAGCCTCAGTCCAAATGCAGAAGTTCTCTGCTCCCCAGCTTCTGCATGGTAGACAGAAAGACTTTCTCAAACGCAAAAAGAAGAAAGAGAAAAAGTCCCATTCTGGAGCCAATGTCCAGATCTCATTTCCCTCCTAAACATTTCTTCCTGTTCTTAGGACATAAGCTTTCTGAAGCAGTATCACCCTCCCTGTAAGTTCAAATACTTCAAAAGTTAGAGGGAGAAAGGCAATCATCCATAATATCCTACCAATCATAAGAGTCATTGGTGTAGAGCTAGAAGAGACGGCCTTAAAGGCAAGCTAGTCCAACCCCCCCCCTCCCATTTTATAGATGAGAAGACCTAGAGAAGTTAAATATCTTGCCCACAGTCAAACAGGTAGTATCAGAAACTTAGGGTAAATGATTGAGTTATCTTTCTCTGTCACCAGGTTATCATCATCCTGGACCCTAAGATTAATAATAACTCAGAATAGATAAGGGAACTGTCTAGATACAGGTTATACTCAATTCCATACAGAAGGAGGGTCATCCTTATTTACAAGTGGATTAATTAAATGCTTCTCTACTTGTGATATAAAAGATATGGAAATCTCTTAACTAGGCAACAAAGTGCTTTAGATTCTACCATTAATTCCTTTAGAGGGCATACATATCATTGGGAAGGATATTTGTTGGGTGTTGGGAAGAAAAGATTTTTAAAAGATTCAGAGAAAGGATAAGTAAGCCCCAATGGCCTAAAAATCTAAGGGGGATATTCTGAATACACAAATTATTCCAATAAAGAGAAAGAGGGGACACTGTCTAAAAGAAACCAATGTGGAAACAGGAGTTCCACTGACAAACTCTGATCTTAACAAGACAAGTAAAGAAGATGGAAGTAAGAGTAGGTAATGATGAATGACCTTTAAGGCCTTTGAGAATAGTGTCAAGAGCACTAAGACCTAGAATGAGCTTTACAAGGCCAACAATGAGCGCTAAGGACATTAAATGTATTTTAAAGCTGTTTTGAGGCAAGAGGAAAATTGATGAATAGGGATGGCTATTTTGGACTATATTATTTAAGACTATATTATTAAAGGAATAGTTTTATGAGCATTGGGAAAGGAAAGCAGTGGTCACTAAAAAGGCTGATGTGGCTTCTTCATCCAGAGCAGGTCATGCCAGATTAAGTTCACTTTCTTGTTTTGACAGGTTATTGGAATGACAGATCAGATGAATGTTGTAGTATACCTAAATTTCAAAAAAGCATTTAACAAAAAAACTTTCATAATTATCTTAATTACCTGAGCAAGATTGAAAAATATGAATTAGATGTAAGTATATGACAACTTGAAGGAAAATCTCTGGAGAATGGTTCCAATGCTATTCAACCTTTTTGTCAACAATTAAATGAAGCCATAAAAGACTGTCAATGTTTGTCAAAACTGCAAGTGACACAAAGCTGGAAAGGATAGCTTACACACTAGATAGCAAGAGTCAGAATCCAAAAACATCGAGACCTTAAAACAATGATGCAAATCAAATAAAATTTAATTCAAATTTAAATGTAAATTTCTACAGTTGGATTCAAGCAATAAACTTCATAAGTATAGTTTAAGGGAGACATGACTAGACAAACCTGCGTGAAAAAGACTTGAGGATTTTAATGGATTCAATGATCAATATGAGTCAATAGTCATGATATGGCAGCCAAAAAAGCTAATGCTATTGTAGGCTATGTGGTGTCCAAAACAAGGGGAAAATAAGTCCCCCTACGCTGTTCCCTGGTAACAGCACTGTGTTCAGTTCTGGAAACTGTTTTGGGAAAAAATATTGACAGGCTAGACTATGTCCAAAAGAGGGTATCCTGGATTGGTGAAGGGAACTGAGAACATGGTATATTAGTACCTGCTTGAAAGACCTGGAGTTGTTTACTTTAGAGACAAGACTTGTGGGAATATAATGTCTCAGTTATTTGAAGGACTATCACATAGAAGAGGTTTTATACTTGTTCTGAGTGGCCTAGAGGGCAGAACTAACAAAAGAGCTTGACATAAAGAAAAACTAACCCATGAGCTATCCAAAAGTTGAATGAACTACCCCTAGTATTTAGTAAGTTATATCTCACTGAACATTTTCAAATGGAAGGTCAATAATCAAGCCAACAAATCATATCAACAAGAATTTATTAAGCCTTTACCACGAAAGGGTACTGTGCTAAGAATTGGGGATACAAAGGAGAAAAAAGGCACATTTCAATGGGGGAAACAAGCTGTAAACAACCAGGTAATCTGAGAAGGCAGCCCAGGGGATCAGGAAAGGCCTCCTATAGAAGACAGAATTCTGAGTTTTGAAGGCAAGAAACAGAGGTGAAAGGTCAAGAGTGTTCCAGACATGAAGAAAAGGTACAGAGCTGGGAAATGGAGTATCATGTCAGAAACTGCAAGTAGGCCAGTATTGCTGGGTCATAGAGTGTATGGAGCACAGTGAAATAGAAGAATTGAAAGTAGGAAGGGGCCAAGTTGTGAAGAGATTTAAATACCAAATAAAAGAGTTTCTGTTTGATCCTGGAGACAATAGGGAGCCCCTGGAGTTTACTAAGTGACACTGTGGTCAGACCTACAACTCAGAAAAAAGTTTTATCATGGCTGCTGAGTGGAGGTGGGAAGACCCTTGAGAGAGAACAACCAGAACTGGCTACTGTAATAGACCAGGAATGAGATGATGAGATGAGGAATGAGGGTCATGGTTATGTGACTGGAGAGGAGAGGATGTTTATGAGTTGTTGCAAAGGTACAAACAACAATGGATTGGATATGTAGGGTGAGAGAGTGAAATTGAGTATAACACCAAGGTTACAAAGCACAACTGGGTGAATAAAAAGATGGTGGTGCTTAGAAGAGGGGAGGGTTTTCTGGGGGAAAGATAATGAGTTCTATTTTGGAAACAATAATAACAAGATAGATAGATAGATATAGTGCTTTAAGGTTTTCAAAGCACTTTACATACGTCATCTTATTTGATCCTCGTGACAAACCTGTGAGGTAGGTATTATTATTATCCCCATTTTACAGATAATGAAACTAAACCTGAAAGAAGTTAAATGATTTGCCCAAAAGGACACTCAGCTGTCTGGGACAGGATTCAAATTCAGGCCATCTTGACTGCACCACCTAGCTGCCCTTACATTTTAAATCTGAGATGTCTCTGGGACATCTAGTTTGAGAGATCCAAGGAACAGTTGATGATGGATGACTACATACATGAACTATATATGAACAGACTAGGGATGGATATATAGGTCTGGGAATCATTTGCATAGATATGATAACTGAACCCATGTGAGCCAACGAGAATATATGAAACCTATGGACCCCTTCTCAGAACAATGTATTTAATTGCATAAATTGAATATATAACATTACAAAAGAAACAATTATATTGAAATATAGTTATCAAAAAATTTTAAAACAAGTTTATGCACCCCAGGTTAAAATCTTTTGGCATAAAACAAAAAGAGAAGATCGTCCAGGATAGAGCCTTTGGGAACTGACTCAAGATGTAGGTGTGATGTGGGATGAGGAATTAGCAATAGAGATACATCAGTGTCACAAAAACCCAAAGAGGTCAAGAGTATCGAGGAGGAGAAAGTGATCAACAGTATGCACATCTTCAGAGGTCAAGAGGATAAGAACTGAGACAAGGTCATTAGCTTTAGCAATTAAGAGATCTTTGGAGAGAACAGTTTCACTCAAATGATGAAGTACAGAGGGTTTTGAATTGAAAGAAAACAAAGTGAAGGCACTGATTGTGGGTGGTTTTCTCAAGGAGTTTAGCCATGAAGGGGAAGAGAGTCAGAATGAAAGCTAGTGGGGATGATAGGATCAAGTGAGGGTTTTGGTTTTTCTGTTTTATTTTTTTTTTAAAGATGAAGGAGACCTGAGCTGTTTATAGTTGGCATCAGGGTAGAAACCCAGTAAATGGGGAGACATTAAGGATAAAAGAGTGGGGATGACAATAGGGGAAATTTGCTGGAGAAGTTGAGAGGGATTAGGATCAAGGGAGCATGTAGAGGGATTGTCCTTAGCAAAGAGAATCAACACCTCTTTTTCTGAGATTGGAGTAAAGGAAGAGATAGTAGGGAAGATGTCTAAATGATGTGAGATGAGAAGAAAGACATAAGAGGGAGGTTTCAGCAAATGAGTTCAATTTTTCATTCAGGTATGAGGTAAAGTCCTCAGCTGAGAGGGTGATCAAGAGAGGGAAGCATCATGGGAGGCTTAAGGAGAAACAAGAATGCTGTAGAGTGGGATAGTGAATTAATGAGAAAGGAATAGAATGTTTACATTCTGCAGTGAGGACCCAGTTGAGATTGGATGGCATATTTGTAGTGGACTCAGTCAACATAGCTTCATAATTTCCTACAGCTTCTTTCAGCAGGTGCATAGGAGCAGAGGATGTTGATATTGGTAGTAATCCAGAGTTGAGGTTTGACAAGGCATGATTGGTGATTGGACAAAAGAGCAAGAGAATGGTCTGGGAAAGAACTAAAGGGTTAAGGAAATAGAGGTCAAAGTAAAGACCAAAAAATTGGGTAGGGATTGTAAGGCAAAGGGAAGATGGACTAGTAAAAGAACTAGCTCGAACCAGTTAGGATTGAGAATTCTTATTCAAGTATAGGTTGAATAAGTTGGCCTCTGAGGTCCCTTCCATGATTCTGAAGGTATGATAGTAAGACCTCAGCATGAACTGAATTAAAAGACTGAGCCCTGGTTAAATGTCTGGGGGTCCAAGAAGATAAGGCTTAGAGCACCCAGATTTGTTTTGACTATTTTACAATTCTGACACATGGGCTATGGTCAGGAATAATTTAGGACAAGAACTGGACATGATTCAGAGTTAGCAAATAGTAGTATATAAAGATTGTGATAAGAATTAGTCCACCAGTAAGGCCTCATCGTGGTGAGACGATAACCTTGTTCTTGAGGTTATGTCAATGGTTCAAGCTCTGAAAGGTCCTGTAAAGTTGAAAGGCTTCAAATACAGACAGATTCTGTGATAGGTATAACTTACCTGAGGACCAGATTAGCTAAATTTGAAAAGGAACATCACTACAAGGTTGGCAATAACTTAAATTTTTTAACCACAGAAATTCATGTAGACTAAAGTAGAGAAGGATTTGTTCTACACCAGTGGAGGGAGTTAAGTTCTGTCTCCCTGAAATATTGAAGCTTGGTTAGTTAGAATTGAGTACAGGGTTAGACTTGGGATTAAAGAATGAGTGAGGTGAAGTCATGGGTTCCAGGTAGGGTTAGGGCTCTCTTAGCAGTAAGTAAGGGAAAGGAAGAGAAATGAGATTGGGAGAGAAAGAGAGGAGGAAAGGGCAATAGATGAGAAAAGTGAGTTACTGTTAGGCAGTGGGATGATTGAGATTGTAATAGAGCCAGGGGAGGGAGGAAGAGGTGGGAAGAGTCAGACACAGTATGTTACTAAGGGAAACAGGAAGCTCAGGAGGATTTAGAACTAGAAGGGAACTCAAAAGATCATCTTTTCCACTTCCCTCATTTTATAGAGGAGGAAACTGAGATCCACAGAGATGAGCTGACTTGTCCAAGGTCTCATAGTAGCTAGCAAGCCAGAATTTAAACTCAAATCTTCTGATTCTGTGTCCAACACTCTTTCTAACATACTGCCTCCCTTGAAAAAAAAATAGGCCAAATAAGGTGTACTGAGGTTAGAGTTGTGGTTAGGTTTGAGATTAAGGTCTAAAATAGAAGGAAGGTTATGACATATTTAAGGGGTGGTTCAGATACTTAGAAAATAGGGTGCATATTGGAAGAATTAGGGTATCTGAAGAAAAAACAAGTAGAGAGAGAGGCAGCAGTTTGGGTTAGGGTAGGAATTAAGCCACAAATTAGAGATCAAATTTGGACTAAAGTTGGGATAAGGAAGAGGGAGAGAGGGAAATGAAGAGGGAGAAAGAGAGAGCTACAAAGAGATATAGATTAGATAGAATGATAGATAGATAGATAGATAGATAGATAGATAGATAGATAGATAGATAGATTAGACAGACAAGTAGGGCATGTATTGAGCACTGATTAATGTGCTGTGCACTCTGCTAAGTGCTAGGAATACAAATACATGCCATTGACAGTCCCTGCCTTCAAGGAGTTTACATTCTAATGATGGAAAATAACATAAAGGAACAGAACATAAATAGATTGATTACACATTAGTCCAGGAATTAGCAAATTTCAGAGGAGACACTGTGAAGAAATGTCCCTAAACTTCAACCTCCTTTCCCCAAAGAGTCTCTTCCATTTTTCTCTTTATCGTTGTCTACCCTAGACCACCAAGGAAATTGAATGTTCCCTTTAACCCTTAGAGACAGATGTCAGCAAAGTCTCTTTTAATGCGAGGCATGATGGCAGTCATAAAGCTTTACTAAAGAATAAAGGGAAAATATATTTAGGATGAGGGCTTCAAAATCTAAAAAAAAGTTGGGAGGGACATATCCATATTAAAAAAAAATCAGCAATGTAGCTAAGCTGGAAGAAAAGAAGGACCTTGATCTTTAAGCTTTCCTTTGTTCTGATATGCTTCTTCTCCCCTCCCCGACATCAATTTGCACTGGAGATCAAAATATTCTTGGAGTTGGGAAACCAGGAGATCTCCCCGCCAACTCCCACCAAGCCAAATAACCCTTGACTGTTTTTTTTTTTTGAAGTGCAGCTTCTAACTTGATGTTGGCTAGGCACAGTTTATCATTTGGAAATTAAACTGGAAGCCACAAGAAATTTCTAAACCTAAGAGTGAAAAGACCCCAACCTTTGGTGAGCAAAAGTAAAGATTAGAAACATAGATTTAAGTCTGAAGGCACTAGCAGGATGGGACCATTCTGTGTTCCAGAGCTTGGTTCCTAGGACAATCAGTCTCCCTCTGGGGAGAAAATACATATTCTAGCAAAGACTTTTTGAGCTGGGGTTTTTTTCTGTAGTCCAATGACTGGTGCATGTTAGGGCTTTCTGCCTTTCTAAATGAGCCATAATATAGGAAAAGGCCTCTGTACTCTAAGCTCAAGTAGCAGCGTCAGAGTCCAGTCCTCCATTTATGACAAAGAAGTAGAATGGCATCACTCTCCTGATGTCATTGGTCCTCTTCAAGAACAAGGATGAATGACAGAACCTCAACCAAGGAGCCCTCCTGGAGCCAGAAGGTGGAAAAAGAGAGAATCACCACAACATCATCCTCAGAGGACCCATAGTGGTCACATGAGACCATCGAGAAAGAGCTCCTAGCAGAGACTTTGTGCCGTGAAAGAACAAGAGGGCACAGCCCTACCAAGGACAGCAAGATAACCTCAGCCTTGTAGCATCGATAGAGGCTCAAATTGGTCTTCCATGTATGCATCCTGGCTACACGCTTTGTGTGTGACTTTCCACATGGGCCCTACCACAATGTACCACACATATGTGCCTCTGCACATGCATTCCTTGGGTGCATTCACTCTTCCCACTAACGATGTA